CTTCGGTGGCGCTCCCTATGGGGTCACGAACCGCATGAGGGGTATGCCGAAATATGGCGGGGTACACAACGCAAAGGAATACGATAGGTCAGATTACGAACGAATTAACGCGGGTGAGCCAGAGCGCGAGAGAGTCTGAGTGTGAATGGGTCTGCGTGGGAGTGAGTATATTTGCATGCATGCGATCTTGGCTACGCCTAGTGTAAATGTATATGAATGTGAATGGCTCGAGCATGCCTGTCCGAACACTCGTGACACTGGGCGTGGCCGCCGCAGGCAGCTTCCGCGGGAACCCCGACGGCAGCGCCCGCGCGCCGCGACGCCCATGTCGGCACGCCCCCCACGGGGATCGCACCCGCTTCCGCCCCTTTTTTCCCCCCTCTTTGCCTGCGCGCTCCAAAAATCCAAAGCTGCGGGCGCAGAGCAGCGCGGAGTCCCCGCGACGCGCGCAGGTCGCCGCGGAGGGGTCCCAGCGACGCGCGCAGGTCGTCCGCTGCGCGGAGCACAGAGAGCTAGCCGGCCGGCTGATTGCGGGCAAGGCTCCGGCCGCTGGGCAGAGCGACGACGGGCGAGCGAGGCGCTGAGCAGAGCGCCGCGCGGAATCCCCGCGACGCGCGCTGGTCGCCCCGAGAGGGTCCCAGCGACGCGCGCGGGTCGTCCGCGGCGCGAGGCCGAACAATTATGCGGGCAGTCGAGAGAAGGCGCGGCTCGGGGGGGGGGGCGCTCCTCAGGTCAGGCCTCGCGGATAAACTCGGTGAAGCCAAGCTCCCTGGCGAGGGCCGTCGCCTCCCTCCTGCACCGCTTCGTGCGCGCTGCAAACTGCTCCAGCTGCTTTCGCAGGCCCTCCGGCGGTCCTGCCAGGAAGAACTCGATGCGCGGCGCCCGCATGAGCAGGAGGTCCTCGTGGCGCGTGGCGCGCGAGAGCACCATATAGAGCTCCAGCCACCAGTCGTCTTCCTCCTTTTTGCCGTTCCCGACCTCGTGGCGGCCGCAGGCCAAAAAGGGGCGGTGGCGCCATGCGAGCTGCGCCACTTGGACCTCAGGTGGAGCTCCCTGAGGGGCCACGAAATCTGTGAGGGGTGTGCCAAAATGGGGCGGTGGCGCCATGCGAGCTGCGCCACTTGGACCGTAAATGGAGCTCCCTATGGGGCCACGAAACGTGTGAGGGGTGTGCCAAAAAGGGACGGTGGCGCCATGCGAGCTGCGCCACGTGGACCTTAGGTGGAGCTCCCTATGGGGCCACGAAACGTGTGAGGGGTGTGCCAAAAGGAGCTCCTGAGGGGCCACGAAATTTGTGAGGGGTGTGCCAAATGGGGCGGTGGCGCCATGCGAGCTGCGCCACTTGGACCTCAGGTGGAGCTCCCTGAGGGGCCACGAAACGTGTGAGGGGTGTGCCAAAATGGGGCGGTGGCGCCATGCGAGCTGCGCCACTTGGACCGTAAATGGAGCTCCCTATGGGGCCACGAAACGTGTGAGGGGTGTGCCAAAAAGGGACGGTGGCGCCATGCGAGCTGCGCCACGTGGACCTTAGGTGGAGCTCCCTATGGGGCCACGAAACGTGTGAGGGGTGTGCCAAAAGGAGCTCCCTGAGGGGCCACGAAATCTGTGAGGGGTGTGCCAAAATGGGGCGGTGGCGCCATGCGAGCTGCGCCACTTGGACCTCAGGTGGAGCTCCCTGAGGGGCCACGAAACGTGTGAGGGGTGTGCCAAAATGGGGCGGTGGCGCCATGCGAGCTGCGCCACTTGGACCGTAAATGGAGCTCCCTATGGGGCCACGAAACGTGTGAGGGGTGTGCCAAAAAGGGACGGTGGCGCTGATGACGACGATGATGAGAATGATGATGATAATGATGATGATGACGATGATGATGATGATGATGATGATGATGATGATGACGATGAGGATGATAGGAGGGGAGAGGAGGCGGAGGAGGAGAGGAGGAAGGAGACGCGGGGCACCGTCTCTTCAAAACGAGGACCCAACACCACAGGATGGTTGGGAAATCTCCTCGAACATCTGGCCTCCTGGACGCCGCGCGCGAGGTGGTCCAGGCCGTTTCGCCTGAGACATCCTCCCAATTCGGGACTCAGAGATGCCGCGCGAGAGGTGGTGCGGCCCGTTTCGCCTGAGACTTCCTCGCAACTCAGGGTTCCGAGAAGCCGCGCGCGAGGTGGTGGGGCTGGTTCGTCTGAGACATCCTCGCAACTCGGGGCTCGGAGATGCCGCGCGAGAGGTGGCCCAGCCCGTTTCGCCTGAGACATCCTCGCAACTCAGGGTTCCGAGATGCCGCGCGCGAGGTGGTGGGGCTGGCTCGTCTGAGACATCCTCGCAACTCGGTGCTCGGAGATGCCGCGCGAGAGGTGGTCTTGCCCGTTTCGCCTGAGACATCCTCGCAACTCGGGGCTCGGAGATGCCGCGCGAGAGGTGGTCCAGCCCGTTTCGCCTGAGACATCCTCGCAAGTCCGGTCTCCGAGATGCCCCGCGCGAGGTAATTTGGTTCGTTTCGCTTGAGACATCATCGCAAATCAGGATTCAGAGATGCCGCGCGAGAGGTGGTCTGGCCGGTTTCGCCTGAGGCATCCTCCCATCTCTGAGCTCTGAGGTGCCGCGCGCGAGGTGGTCCGGCCCGTTTCGCCTGAAACATCCTCGCAACTCGGGGCTGGGAGATGCCGCGCGCGAGGTGGTCCAGCCCGTTTCGCCTGAGACATCCTCGCAACTCGTGGCTCCGATATGGCCCGCGCGAGGTGTTCCCGCCCGTTTCGCATGACCAACTTGTAGTTCCGAGCTGCCGCGCGAGAGGTGGTCTTGCCCGTTTCGCCTGAGACATCCTCGCAACTCGGGGCTCGGAGACGCCGCGCGAGAGGTGGTCTTGCCCGTTTCGCCTGAGACATCCTCGCAACTCGGGGCTGGGAGATGCCCCGCGCGAGGTTGTTTGGCTCGTTTCGCTTGAGACATCCTCGCAAATCAGAGATGCCGCGCGAGAGGTGGTCTGGCCGGTTTCGCCTGAGATATCCTCCCATCTGTGAGCTCTGAGGTGCCGCGCGCGAGGTGGTCCGGCCCGTTTCGCCTGAGACATCCTCCCAAGTCGGGGCTCGGAGATGCCGCGCGCGAGGTGGTCCAGCCCGTTTCGCCTGAGACATCCTCGCAATTCGGGGCTGGGAGATGCCCCGCGCGAGGTTGTCTTGCCCGTTTCGCATGAGGCACCCTCCCAACTCGTAGTTCCGAGCTGCCGCGCGAGAGGTGGTCTGGCCCGGTTCGCGTGAGACGTCCTCGCAACGCGGAGCTCTGAGGTGCCGCGCGCGAGGTGGTCCGGCCTGTTTCGCCTGAGACATCCTCGCAACACGGGGCTCAGAGATGCCGCTCGAGAGGTGGTACGGCCCGTTTCGTCTGAGACATCCTCGCAACTCGGCGCTCCGAGCTGCTGTGTGAGAGGTGGTCTGGCCCATTTCGTTTGAGACATTCTCCCAACTCGGGACTCAGAGATGCTGCGCACGAGTTGGTCTGCCATGTTTCGCTTGAGACACTCTTCCAACATTGGGCCCCGAGATGCCGCACGAGAGGTGGACCAGCCCGTTTGGCCTGAGACATCCTTCCAATTCGGAACTCAGAGATGCTGCGCGAGAGGTGGTCCGGCGCGTTTCGCTTGAGACATCCTCGCAACTCTGGGCTCGGAGATGCCGCGCGAGAGGTGTTCCAGCCCGTTTCGCTTGGACATGTTCGAAACTCTGAGCACCTAGATGCCGCTCGGGAAGAAGAGGAGGTGGAGGAGGATAAAGAGGACTAGGAGGAGATCGAAGGGAGGAGGAGGAGGAGGAGGAGGAAGAGGAGGAGGAGGAGGGGGAGGAGGAGGGAGCAGGCAGGAGGAGGAGGAGCAGGAGGAGGAGAAGGAGGAGGACAAGGAGGAGGAGGAGGAGGGAGGAGGAGGAGGAGGAGGAGGGAGGAGGAAGGGAGTTGCATGAGAGGACCCAACGGGAAGCGAGAGGTAGAACGGCCCGTTTCGCTTGGGACATCCTTCCGCTTGTGAGCTCCAAGATTCCGCTCGCGCCTTCCGCCCTCCTCAGACATCCGACGCCACGACTTGTTGTTTGTAGACGTGCGCCCGCGGACCTCTCGACCTCATCCCCGGGACTGGCTCTTCTTCGTTGTGACCCGGTGGCGCCCGAAACTGGGGTTCAGAGTCTTTTTCTCCCTGTTCTCGCCGCGTTCTCCTTGCAATTAGGAAGTGTCGCGGAACGAATGCTGGCGGACGAGTGTTGGGTCGTCTTGACGCTCCAACGCGTCGCGGGGGAACCGCTCCAGATGCAAGGGGGGGGGGGGTAAAGGGAGGAGAGACACCCCTCTCCGAAGAGGAAGGAGCGAGTTGGAAGAAGGAGATCGGTAAACCATGCGCTCCCTAGAGGGCTGACGGGATGCGTATACGCAGAGCTGCCCGCCTAGCATGTAGTGCAGGGCTGAATGCACACTGCCCATCGTTTTTCGAGGCCGAGCCCATGAAACAACCCAAGGCCTCCTATCGAACTTTCTGAAGCCCTCGCCCACACAAATGGGCAGCCCCAAACGCTTTCGAGAAACAACAAGTTCGCTTTATGCATCCATGCCGCTTGTGGGCGGTTCTTCCGCCCGCCCTCTTCGAGCTGGAATGAGGGTCGCAGCCGCTACTGCGGTATAGATCCGTCGATGCGGTGGCGTTCAACACGACCTCCGACCAAAACGCGCCATCCAGGGCGACCGGAGCGACAAAGGAGGACTAGTACAACATGCCCCCGTTCCACGTTTCTCGTCTTCTTTGCTGTCTCCCCGTTCCTCTTACAGTTGCTTCTGGGCTCACAGCATGGCGGTATACCCTCTTACAACGCCGCCTCGACAGTTTAAGTAAGCGTCGACCAGGTCCAGGAGGAGGGAGGAGGGGAGGAGTGCGAGACCCTGAAGCGATGGCTTCTTGAAAGCCGTGCATAACTTGAGATTTGTGCGAACCGTACTATGCAAACATCATGTTATCATGTTTCAACTTGTCATGCCAGCCCGCACTGGACGGGCAGGCGATCGACCTTGGAAGCCCTCACGGATGTTGAGATCATGTTTGGGGATGCAAGCGACTTTTTTCGGAAGCTCGGTAGCCGTGAGCTCCGACGGGCCCGCGTGGTGGTGGGGGCCGACAAGGACGACGACCAGGGCGCCGATTCTGGCTCCGCGTACGTGCTCGACGGGGCCACCGGCGAGAGGCTGCTCAAGCTTGTGGCGAGTGATGGCCGCAGGCGACGGATTCGGAATCTCGGTGGCCGTGAGCTCCGACGGGGCCCGCGTGGTGGTGGGGGCCTTCCTGGACGACGACCAGGGCGCCGTGCACGTGTTCGACGGTACCACGGGCGAGAGGCTGCTCAAGCTTGTGGCGAGTGATGGGGCCGCAGGCGACTATTTCGGACGGGCGGTGGCCGTGAGCTCCGACGGGGCCCGCGTGGTGGTGGGGGCCTTCGGTGACGAAGACCAGGGCGCCCTCTCCGGCTCCGCGTACGTGCTCGACGGTACCAGCGGCGCGCATTTGCTCAAGCTTGTGGCGAGTGATGGGGCCTTCCTCGCCCGGCCCGGATTCTCGGTGGCCGTGAGCTCCGACGGGGCCCGCGTGGTGGTGGGGGCCTGCTATGACGACGACCAGGGCACCGGTTCTGGCTCCGCGTACGTGTTCGACGGCACTATCGTCATCACCGAGACGGCCACGAGTTCCGCGACGTCAAGCACTACTACCATCACCAAGACAACCACCGAGACAACAACTGAGACGACCACCGCGACGACCACCACGACGGCCACGACGACCACCGACACGGGCACGAGTTCCGCGACGTCAAACACTACTACCACCACCAAGACAACCACCGAGACAACAACTGAGACGACCACAGCGACGACCACCAAGACCACGACGACAACCGAGCCATGGGGATTAATTGCAGTCTTCGCTGGTGTCTTGATCTTGTTCTTCTTGATATTGTTCTTGGTCTGCGGCGTCGCGCTGGGCTGCCCGGTGAGTTGCGGATGTCCTGGCCGTGGCAGGGGCCCAACACCCGAGCGCGGGATTCACAACGCGGAGGTTGAGGTCAATTAGTCGGAGCAGGACGCGGAGATCGATGAGCACGAGTCGGATCATAGTATTTAGCACGACGCGGAGCCTGTATCATCAGGCTACTCCGCATAGCGTTCGACCTTTCAGCAATGGAATTGTTCGGCGCATCAGTATGTACGCCGTTCGCGCCAAGGCGTGTCAGGCTGCAACGCTGGCTTGCAGGCGACGTCCGCCTGCCGTCAGCCCAGTGAATTGATTGCGTTCTATTTTCAAGAGCTGGTCGCGGAAAAAAAAACAGCGGAATGATTCAGCACGCCAGGCACCCTTCTGATGAATCAACAGGGAGCGGCGGAAAACGCCTATGTGGCCGAGAGTTGGGCCAGAGCTCGGCCAAGCTATCGGGCCAGTTGTTCCCCGAGTCGGTTTGGAAAGACTTCGGGGAACGCGTGGGGGGGCAAGACGTGGAGGAGGGAGAGGATCAGGAAAAAAGGAGGAGGAGGAGGAGGACGAGGAGGAGGAGGAGGAGGAGGAGGAGGAGGAGGAGAAGGAGGCCTCTTGGGCGCCTTTCGGGGCACTCCTGGGGCTTCCTGGGGGTTTGCTGGGGGCCTCTTGGATGCCTCTTCGGGGCCTCCTTGGGCCTGATGGGGGCCTTTGGTCTTGGGGGTCTCTTTGGCAGTCTTAGGGCGTTCCTGGCTTGTCTGACGCCGTCGGAAGCCGTCATGGGGGCCTGCCTGGGTCGTCTTGGGGCCCTCTTGAGGCATTTCAGGGTTGTCTTCGAGGCCATCTTGGTCGCCTTGGACGCCTCTTGGGTCGTCTTGGGGCCCTCTTGGGGCCGTCTTCGGAGCTTTTCGGGCCGTCATGGGGCCATCGTGGAGGCCTCGTGGGCGATCTTGGGGCGATCTTGGGGGCCTCCTGGGCCGTCTTGAACGGTCGGAATGCCGAGAAGAACCACATGCTGCAATCGGTCAAAACCGTTTGAAAAAAAAAAAAAAAAAAAAAAAAAAAAAAAAAAATGATGTTGGTTTCTTCGGGCCCTCCTGGACGACCTCTTGGAGGCGTCTTGGGCCGTCGTGGGCGCCTCTTGGGGGCCTCTTGGGCCGTCTTGGGCCGTCTTCGATGCATCTTGGGCCGTCTTGGAGGCATCTTGGGGCCATCTCAGCCGTCTTGGAGGCCACCTTGGCCGTCTTGAAGGGCCTCTTGGGGCTGTTTTGGGGGCCTCTGGGGCCGTCATGGGGCCATCTTGGAGGCCTCGTGGGCGATCTTGGGGCGATCTTTGGGACATCTTGGGCCGTCTTCAGCCGTCGGGATGCCGAGAAGAAGCACATGCCAGACTGCTTCAACAACCTAAGGAAAATCAATGATGTTGGTCTCTTTCGGGTCCTCCAAGTTGGAGGCCTCTTGGGCCGTCTTGGAGACCTCTTGGGGGCCTCTTGGGCCGTCTTGGGCAATATTGAGGCCATCTTAAGCCGTCTTGGATGCATCTTGGGCCGTCTTGGAAGCATCTTGGGGTCATTTTAGCCGTCTTGGAGGCTATCTTGGCCGTCTTGGATGCCTCTTGGGGGGCCTCTGGGGCCGTCATGGGGCCATCTTCGAGGCCTCGTGGGCGATCTTGGGGGCCCTTTGGGCCGTCTTGAGCCGTCGGAAGGCCGAAAAGAAGCAAATGCCATAACCTGTCAAAACCAGAAGTGCAATCAATGATTTTGGCCTCTTCGGGCCCTCCTGGATGACATCTTGGAGGCCTCTTGGGCCATCTTGGAGACCCCTTGGGGGCCTCTTGGGCCGTCTTGGGCAATACTGAGGCCATCTTAGTCCGTCTTGGAGGCCGTCTTGGATCATCTTGGGCGGACTTGGAGGCCATCTTGGACCATCTTGGAGACCATCTTGGGCCAATATGACCATCTTGGAGGCCTCTTGGGCGATCTTTGGGGGATCTTTGGGGGCTCCTGGGCCGTCTCGGGCCGTCGGAAGGCCGAACCGAAGCAAATGTCAAAACCCCTCAAAAACCTAAGGAGGATAAATGTTTTTGGCCTTTTCTGGCCTTCCTGGAGGCCCTCTTGGAGGCCTCTTGGGCCGTCTTGGGCCAGCTTCGAGCCAACTTTGGCCATCTTGGTGGGTTCCTGGCACGTCTGTCGCCGTCGGGAGCCGTCTTGGGGGCCTCTCTGGGCCGACTTGGGGCCCTCTTGGGGCGCTTCGGGGCCGTCTCAGGGGCCATCTTGGGCGTCTTGGAGGCCTCTTGGCCCGTCTTGGGGCCCTCTTGGGGCCGTCTTGGGGGCCTCTTGGGCCGTCATGGGGGCCTCGTGGGCATCTTGGGGCCGTCTTGGGGGCCTCGTCGTCAGGGCTGTCTTCGAGGCCATCGTGGGCGCCTTGGACGCCTCTTGGGTCGTTTGGGGGCCCTCTTGGGGCCGTCTTCGGAGCTTTTTGGGCCGTCACGGGGCCATCTTGGAGGCCTCGTGGGCGATCTTGGGGGCCTCTTGGGCCGTCTTGAGCCGTCGGAAGGCCGAAAAGAAGCAAATTCCAAAACTTGTCAAAACCCCAGGGAAAATCAATGATTTTGGCCTCTTCGGGCCCTCCTGGAGGATCTCTTGGAGGCCTCTTGGGTTTGGAGGCCATCTTGGACCATCTTGGAGGCCATCTTGGGCCAACGTGGCCATCTTGGAGGCCATCTTGGAGGCCATCTTGGAGGCCATCTTGGGCCATCTTGAGCGAAAGATTAGGGGAATTGAGCTCCTTGAGAGCTTTTCCGGGGCCGGCGGGACGCGCTGGAGCCCCAGGGGGAGTTCTTCTGGAAAAGAACCAAAACCAAAACCGATAGGATCCAGCACGCCAGGCACCCCTGTGATAAATCACAAGGGGGCGGCGGATATCACTCTCTAGTGGTCTTCATAAAAACAAATGATACCAGAGAAAAACCACAATCATAATTTGGGGGGGGCAATGGGGCTTTAGGGCTTTAGGGCTATGGGGCTATAGGGCTATAGGGCGACGTGGCCATAGGGATATAGGGCTAGAAGCCTTTAGGGCTATGGGGCTTTAGGGCTACAGGGCTATAGGGCTATAGGGCTATAGGGCTATAGGGCTAAGGGCTATAAGGCTATTCGGGCTATAGGGCTATATACGGCTATAGGGCTTTAGGACCATAGGGCTACAGGGCTATAGGGCTATAGGGCTATAGGGCTATGGGGCTATGGGGCTATGGGGCGATTGGGCTATTAGGCTATTGGGCTATAGGGCTATCGGAGGTGAGGGGGTGAGATCGAAGTGGAACGGCGAGCCCCCCACCGGGAAATCGGTTTCGGTTTCGTGTTCGTGCGTGCCGTGCGTGCGAGGCGAAGCTGCGTGGGCGGGCGAGAAAAAGTCTCCTGTGGCTGAGGCGCGGCCGGACCAAATGTTTCTCTTCCGGGGCGCGGGGCCCCGCGGTGTCCCACCGGTGTCCCGCGGTGTCCTCCTGTGGCTGAGGCGCGGCCGGACCAAATGTTTCTCATCCGGGTCGCGGGGCCCCGCGGTGTCCCGCCGGTGTCCCGCGGTGTCCCGCAGGTGTCCCGCGGTGTCCCGCGAGGATGATGATGAGATGATCATGATGATGATGATGATGATGATGATGATGATGATGATGATGATGCTGATGCTGATGCTGATGCTGATGATGATGATGATGATGATGATGATGATGATGATGATGATGATGATGATGATGATGATGATGATGAGAGTGCGTGCGCAGTAATGATGTCAGAGAGGCCTTTCAGTTAAGACGAGTAGGGAGAAGGTAGCAGTAGCATCAGCGTGCCTCGCCCGTTGCCCGCCTCGCAGCCTTTCGTTGTTCGCAGGGCCTGCGCGCTGCCGCTCCGCCGCCAGGAGCGCCCGTGCATGTCTGGCTGGCTGGGTGACCTGCTGGAAGACGCTGCGCGGGAGGCTCTGCGGACGGCGGGCATCGCGTCCTTGGTGTGGGCGGGCCAGAGCGAGCGGGCCTGCCCTGACTGCACCTGCTCGCCCTCCTTGGCGTGCCCTGCGCTGCAGTGCCCGCCTTGCACGCTCGGGGGCGCCGCCTGCAAGAGCTGTCCAGAGGCCAGCTGCCCGGAGGTGGCTAGAGGCCTCGGCGCGTGGTGGCTCGTCGCGGTGGTGGTCGCGGCCCTCGGCGGGCTCGCGGCTGGCTGCTGCGCAGGGGCCATCTGGGGCGCTGGAGTGCGGCGAGTGTATGGCCGACTTGAGGCCGATCGCGCCAGGTCGACTGATCCTGGTGTGGTACGGGGGCGGGGAGGCATACTGGCACGAGCGCCTGCTGCTCTGCCAGGTACAGGGAACGACGTGGGTAATCGCGACGCCTGATGACGACGTCTACCCAGAAGACATCATGGCGCTGGGTGGCAGGCCTTGTGTGCAGGGCTCGGTGCCGCCCGCTATCCCAGCCAATGGGCTGCTGCACCGCTTCCCGCCTCTCGGCCAGCATCGCACCAACGCTGAGTGGAGGCACATATTCGATGACAGGATCGCGACGGCTCAGATGCGGCGAGCCGCGATGGGCGTCGATGGCGACGCTGCCGATGCAGAGGCTGGTGCTGTTCGCGATCGTGTGGCTGCTCACGGCTGGGTGGCAGGCACTGGACTACCTGGGGGCCAGCCAGCCGATGCCGCACCTGCAGCCGCCGGCGCCGTGGTGCCCGCCGCGGCTGGGCTGCCGGAGGCGGCCGCCGCGCCCCCGCTCGCTGGAGGCTGCGCTGCTGTCGGAGGCGGAGGCGGAGGCGCGATCGTGGCTGGAGCGGCCGCTGGAGCGCACGCCCCTCTGGCTGGAGCAGCCGCGGCTGGCACGCAGTGGATCGTGGTCGCCAACGATGGCCAGCCAGGTGCTCCAGCGGTTGGAGCCGACTGGAGCGTGGACGCGAGCGCGGTCATCCAGGGGAAGTTCGCCTTCGTCAAGCTTGGGTCGGCCACGCTCGTGCTGGAGCTCATCCCCGTCGGCAGCAAGCTCAGCGCCCTCGAGTCCAGGAAGCGCGAGCTGGAGTTGGCTGTGGCTGCCGCGCCCGCGCCAGGAGGGCTGGCTGCCT